TTTTCCATAGTAGAATCATGTATCTCTGTTTTTGTACTGATGCAAATGCGTAAACATCCCAGACAGTTTGATAGCATTCTTGCAAATCTGATAAATTATGCCCTTTACGTTTTATGACTTCTCTCCTACTGATCTCCACTGATAAAACAACAAGAGGATTTACACACCAGGTCTGTATTCAACACATTGTTTCCAGATGTGGAAGGAAAAGAAAAAAGAGAGAAAAAAAAAACAAACTGAAAGAAAAGAGAGGGCAGAGAAAAAGTGGGATGGTGGAAAGTAGCACTCTATGAAATTAATTAACACTGAGTACATCTTACAGAGGTACAAAACAAGATCTCATTGTATAATAGAATACACATGCACACAGTTCTGTATTTTATAGCCTTCAACTGTCCTGAGTAAAATTTGCTAGATTTGTCCATGCCCACAGAGGACTGCAGGCACATTATTGCTGACCCAGTTCTGGTATAAAACAAACTTTGGATTAAGAGGAAAACCGCACAAGGCCACTTGTTAATATTAATGACAACCTATTAGGGATGACTTCAGCAATCCTAAAAATGAGCTACATGTTTTGCAATGTAGCCAATGTTATAAAATTCCTGACACTGTCATATTCTCTTTTTTCAAAGACCCTGGCATGTAAAAATTCAGTCCCCCAAAGAAACTTAATGCTTATTAATGGACTAGATCAGAGTTTTATGGTGCACAAAGCTTTTTAAAACGGGCATGTGTGTGAGGCAGTAACTGATACACCAGACCTGCACTGGAACAACCCTTCATCACAGCTATAAATCTCTTACAGCTTGTCATTGTTCAGGACAGCATGTCATCCCCTGAAAATCATACACAGGTGTGGCACAAGTATCTTTGTGTGTGTGTGTGTGTGTGTGTGTGTGTGTATATATAGATAGATAGATAGATAGATAGATAGATAGATAGATAGATAGATAGATAGATAGATAGATAGATAGATAGATAGATAGATAGATAGATAGATAG